TCCATTTCCAGGGCTGCACGACCAAAGGACCTCCAGTCCTTGTATCCAGCGCTGTAAAGTGCAACAACAAACTTCTCAGGCGCGACCCTGCAAAAGATGGTCAGCATATCATCAGGTGCCATGACCAGCCCAGGGGTGGAGGTGAGCTGCTCGAACTCAGCAAACAAGGCCTGTAGGGTACCGTTGTACTGCTGCTGTCCCAGGCGAGCAATCCTGTCAGCAGCCTTGCGGGCCCGCTCATTGTCTGCAAACCGGTCCTCCAGGGCCTACAGAAGTTTGTCTACCCCTAACCCAAAGGCCCAGTCCTCCATGGACTGCTGCAGACTGCTGGAAGTTGAAGTGGCCCACTTCAGTGCAGGCCCTTCCAGCAGCCCCAAAACAGTTGCCACCTTGGTCTGTTCCGCACAGACAAAGCCCCTCAAGTAGGCTCTGGTCCCAGCAGCCCAGTCCCCAACATCAGTCTTGGGGTCATCGCCCCTGAACTTGTTGGGAGCAGGGATCTTGGGACCTCTGTCTGCCGCAGTCACAGCAGCATAGGTGGCCTTTGTTGAGGCCTTTTGGGAAGGAGTAGATGACCGGGAAGAATGTATAGATCCCCCATGGGATGAAGGAGGGGAAGGAGGTGGTGAAGGAGGAGGAGAGGTTTTGGGTTTCAGCAGAGGGAGCTGAGGAGTAATCAGCTTGGCGGCTGCCAGCTGAGCAGACAAGCCCTGGATAGCATCCAGGATCTTGGACTGTTGAGCTGACAGCTCGTCAACCCGACGCTCCAGCCGCACAAAACGGTCATCCCAGTTTGTGAACTGGGAGCTGGTGAGCTTGTGCTCCAACAGGATCATCTCAGCCATGTGCTTGGTGACCTGGGAGCACCGATCATCAGTGAGCGACTTCTCTAGCTGCTGCAACAGATACTCCCTTCTGGAGTGATCTGTTGCAGCCTCTAGCTCAGCAGCCTCCAGCCATTCCAATTCGGCAACTCTGGCCTGTTGCAGCTTTAACTGTTCTTCTGCCTCCTTCTTCAGCCTCTGAGTAGCAGTCAGAGGTGGAGGGGGTGCAGTGGAGGCAGAAGGTTGTTCACCTTCTGCCTTCACCACAACTTCACATGTGGCTGCTGCCCCTTTCCCTGATCCGACATTTTCCCAGTTCAAATAAAAACCAAGAATAAAATAACAGCAGACAGGGCTGCAGCGATACTCAGATTCCTGCAGATACACTGAAATTGCTGCAGCAACTCAACACTGGAATAGGTGGGTGTACAGGCAATCAACGGTCTGGGTTAGAAGGGTGTCTCTGGGGTCAGGTGTCAGACAGACTGTAAGTCCAGCAAAATCAACCACACGATTTCCTTTTACTGACCCTGGACCACACTGGAGTTAGTACAGTCACTCCACTACTTCTCCAGAGACCCACTAGAATTTCCAATGCCCACTAGAACACAAGTGTAATCAATGAGAATGATAGAAAGCGGTTAGTACAGACAAGAGAGATCAATCACAACACGCGATGCAGACAGATACCCAGTATCCTGACTCAAACTCACTTTCAGACCCTGATGACTCTGGCGGCCATACCCTAGGGTATGGCAAATTCCAGTTTTCACTGTATCCAGTGGAATACTCAAAATCCAAATCTGCGATTTGACAGTATTGGCTGTTTTCACTTTGCGATTCACTGGGGACTGACAGAACTGAATTATGACAGACAGAATTAGAGTTATGACTGACCCTAGATAGCACAGGCTAAAAATAGACTCAGCGCAAAACTATAATTCACAGTATCACTACCTTTCAGTACATAATTCACTTGTTTGAGCATCCGAGGATAAACGCAATACAGTATAGCAGTCACAGAACCAATTTGGACCAGAAAGAGTCAACAAAGGATGAGATAAGAGCAGAGAGAGGTAGGGGAGAGATGGCTATGGTTGTCATGCAGTCTGCGATTTTCACATCCAGTCACTGACAGACAGATAGACCATTTTCTTTCACTAATCTACTACTATCTGGATCGCAATACAGGTAGGTGCATGGAACGGACTGACTTTCTGCGAATCTTGCAGGTGATGATGAAGATCTGGCTATGGCTGATGATACCCTTATCTCGCCAATTTCCTCCAGAGCTTCTTCGTGACAATCCCACGCACAGAACTGCTTCAAATTTGTTGATCCTCCTCAAGATCCTGTAGCGCTGCACTCCCTTACTCCAGCTACCCTGTATCTGGTCCTGTGGCACCCAACTCGCCAACACCAAAATATCTCGCCACAGTGTCAGGTAGCCGCTGATGCTAAAAATAGCCCCAGATGGGGTTATTTCTCTTGGAGATTGATACAGTAAGTCAATCTCCCTCAGCGCAACCCAGGGATGATGCCGCTCAGGGTTCCCTGATGTCCTCAAGGGTAATTTGCCACTCTGGGGTAATTCGCTGTATCACCCTCAGGGTTGGCTATGGCGAATTAGCCCTGTACTCGCCACTTCTTGCCAAGCGCCCTCGCAGGCTCAGTGCGCTTGCTCAATGCCACCACTGAACACTTGAATCCACCGCTGAAAGTCTTCTTCCCTGCTGGCTCAGGACTGGGGAAGATGAATCGCCACGAAACTCTCGCCAGTATATCGCCAGGATGAAGAAGATGCCTCAGTGCGCTCAACCCTCAGTGCTCCAATTCCAATCTCACTCCGATACCAACTGTTATGAACTTGGTTGTCTGGCGAATTTTCTCGCCACTCACACTCAGACAATCTCACACATGCCCATACATGCATAAGAGAAGGGG